TGTGCAACCAATCTCCAGAACTATTTTCATCTTGTAAAACTGAAATTCTATACTCATTAAATAACAACTCCCCATTTTCCTGGGGCTCCTTTCAACCCCTGGCAACCACTATTCTACTTTCTGTTTGTGTGAATTTGATTTATTTAATGAGAGAATAAACCCAAGACTTGCATAACTACAATATTGTTCTAGAATAATTTGCTTACATGGCGGCAAAGTCAGGAAGAAAACACTGGACAGTTTTTAAACCAAAATTATTAAATCAGTCTAATTTGTACAAAGAGTAATCATAGTGAAAATAGAATGTGGACTTTTTTTTAATACAATTTGTAAATCTTTGTATTTATGAACCAAATCCTTAAAGACTACTTAAATTATGTTTCAAAGCTCTGAATATACCTTTTTTCTTATAACCCAGTGACCAAAACAATTATTTTAGCTCTCAATTAAAACTTTTTTCCAGAGTTTAATTAAAAACCATTAAGAATAGGAACATGGGGCAGCCGGTTAGCTCAGGTGGTTAGAGCACAGGCTCATAACACCAAGGTTGCCGGTTCGATCCCCAAATGGGCCACAGAGCTGTGCCCTCCACAACTAGATTGAAACAACTACTTGACTTGGAGCTGATGGGTCCTTAAAAACACACTTTTCCCCAATAAAATTTAAAAAAAAAAGAGTATCTGGAATTAAATGTCAAGTTGAAAACAAAACAAAACAAAAAGAATAGGAACATGTTCCATTAGAGCTTATAATCTGACTTTTCTCCCCTCTTTTTGTGTTAGATCTGTTTGTCTGGACTATCACGGTATTTCTAACATGTATCCATAATGACCAGAATTGATTTTTGATGGATTAATAAAGTAAGTTTTCCAGAAGAGGGAGAAAAAAAGAAAGGCTATATAAGGGAGCTGTTTGTAATGGATGTAGAAAGAGTTACTGACCACTTTCTTCCCTTTGCAAAGAGGGAAACAGTCTTAAATGCAGACAAACCCATCTCAATACATAAAAGAGAGAGAAAGTGAGTCATTACAACCAGTCTTAGGCACTCTGACAATTCCATCAGGACCATACGATTAAATCTCTGAGGAACAGAAATAAAGTGAGAGGTCTCCTAAAATAAACTAAGTGATTTCTCTTTTAGAGAACAAGACAGAGAGCCTCCTCATGAGGGTTTAACAAAAGAAATTTTACATTTTTTATATTTTTATTTAAATTTCATTTTGAAGCTTTGCGTAACAATAAAAATGCTAATCATTGAGTATTCAGAATTATATTCCTCTTTCTAAAAGTTCTTTCAAGTGAATAATTGGGTTACATCCAAAATACTCCAAAATGACCACTGCGATTCCAAATTGTCCTTGATAAAACTACGCTTTTTAAAAATATAAATGCAAGAAAGATAAAACAGAAGCCAGAGTTATGCCAAGAGGTAGCACAAGTTTGTTATTAAATGAATCCATGAACCATTAGCTAATGGTCAGTCAAAAGGGAAAATATTGCTTATGTATTCTGTCTAAAAGCCTTAACACTAAGGTTGAACCCCTAACAGCTAACTAAAAATCAGCCGGCCAGAAAGGGTAGGCAGAACATCTCTCCCCAACCCAATTTCTCAAACATGAACAAACTAAGAAAAATTCTTATAGATATACAACGATGTAACCAATTGACAAACAAGATGGCTAGTATCAATCAATGCTTTAGCACACTTTCACCAAGGAAAACAAAATTTAGTACAAATTCAATCAGACAACCAAAAAGCCCTGGGAACCTTACACCAAACAAAATAAAGCAGCTAGCTTTAGGATCAGAACTTGACATAAGTGCTGGACTTAGTATCATAGACAAAATCCCCCGAGAAAAGAGGCTCAGGAGACCTCAGTGAAGTGCAGTATAACCGGTGTGAAAATCCTGGTGGCACGTGGTCTTGCCTGAGTCTTGGCGGGACCTCCGTGACTATCAAAATCCTACTACAAGGACAACCAGGGAAACCTATTGATCATACAGAGCTGGATATATGCAAGTTTCAGAGCAAGGGAGAGCATGACCTTGACAGAGTCTCAGTAGTGTCTCAAAGGGGGGAAGTTACAGGATACTTATAGGATTTTGAGGACTGGAGTTGATGGTGAGGTGGTTTTAAAACCTTAAGTTAGTAAGTTACTTACTAACTTACTTAGCTAGTAAGTAAGATCTGGGAAGAGACTGTTCAGATTCTGTAAAACAGATGAATTGCTGAAATAGTCTTATCTTGGGAGCACATGAGTCCAGGTGGAGTTACCATGGTCTCAATTTGTCCATGGTCTTATCTTGGAGCATATAGGTCTGAACCAAGCTTGTGTTAAAACAATTTAACTTAAGATAGTTTGAATTATATGTCATGGTTGGTACAGTTTATCTATTATGCAAGTAATAGTACAGTTTTGTAAGTTGGTGTTTCTGTGTTATTTATCAGAAAGAAATAGTTTGTAGGCAAGCTTGCCAATGATTTGGCTTTCACAGAAATTCAGACATATTGAATGCCTGAAATTGGGGTTGGGGGCCATTGGTAAGAGAGTGAATGAAAACACTGGGTCAAGGAGACGATGGATTAGTATGTTCTTAATGATTGAAATCTTTGGGAAGATGGTGGACTGCAAAGGAAAATAAAGGAAGCAAAGGTTAAATGTTTGACAGCTGGGAAGACAGTGGTATTATTGACAGTAACAGAAACAGGAAATTGAAATTTAATGTGTGGTAGATAAGAAAGTAACAAGGTATAGAGATAATGGGTTATGTTTTGTTTTACTTTGTGTTATTTTTTGCCTTTTGTGTTTTAGCTGTAATGTTTCAGACATCATTCTAGAGATGACCAGAAGTATCATATACCAGAAGATAACATCAGTTTTAAATGGAAATATTGTGATTTATTCTAGTATATTCAGCCTCATAGTCATCCTTCAATTCTGTATACTTTATTTTTTTAGCTGAGCCATCCTGCCACCTGTTGGCAGCTCAGCGGTAGCTCAGCTCGAGCCAGGCATTGAACCGCTGTTGCTCATAGCTTGAACTCTTAACCAACTGAGCCACTCAGCTGGCCCTCTGTATGCTTTTTTTGAAAATACTTAAAATGCACTATAAATCCCATACTCTCATTTAAATAGCTATTATTTTACTATGCCAATTTTACAGACAAATAACTCATTCTCCAATGATCTCTAATTCTGTAATTTCTGGAACTTACAACAAAATAGCAAGTAGGAGCATGAATGGCAAAGAAAACACCATAATAATAGAGGAGCCTTACTTAGTTGGTGGTGGGTACCCTTTTGTGTGGGGGAAACAAAAAAAATTATATAACCACACAGTTTTCTTTCTGAAACAAGTTGTCTAATTAAGGGAGTTAAAGAGCTGTAAGCCTTGACCTTTATAAAATTATAATGACTTCAATAACCATGTGTTAATTAAGATCAGAAAATTAATCTATATTAGCACTGCAATAGCAATTTTCAAAGCTCTGCCAGTGACTAAGGATGAAAGTGGGTTGCAGTGTCACGTGGCATCTGATTAAGTTAAATTAGCACAGTAACTGAAGGGAAGACTCCCAGATGACACTGAATAAGACAGTCGGTTTTTCTCCAGCTATTGTAAGGGGATAGATAGACAGTTGGTTGCAAAGTTACTACTTTTCCAACATAAAGCCCAGGGTCTGTCCACATGGTATCGCTAATGGGTCAGAAGGAAAACTGAAGAAGCTAGAGCTTATTGTTTGGGAGAACTGACATGTGAAGCCCTGGGTATTGGCCATATTAACAGTGTAAGCATCAAAAATGTGCAGGCTTGCCTTCAACCTCCTAAGATAATATTCCAGATTTTCTCACTTCAGAGATGTACTTTTTTTATTTTATAGTATTTCTGAAATCAAAGTACATCGTAAATTAATATATAAAGTTGTATGCTCTGTGTGTGTGTGTGTGTGTGTGTGTGTGTGTTTTAAGGACCCCCTTCTCTTAAGTAAATAAATCTAAATCTGTGTTCACATTATAAACTAATTGCATCTGTACTAGCATCTAGGATAACAATTTGAGTACAATTAGTGGGAAAACAGGTGGTCTTTCAATATCACATAGCATAAAGGAAACAGAGACTGTCATTTATTGTACATTTATATTAACTGAGTATTCATTATCTCAATCAATCCTAACAACTACATGTCAAGGTACTTATTATTGTATATTATAAATGAGAAAATTAAGGTATGGCGTGCTTGGGCAACTTGACTTTGAACCGTTTCTGAATCCCAAGCTCTTCCTGCTATACCACACTGCCTCACTGAAACATCCTAACATAGAATTATAAGCTTCTTATAATTTTCTTCATAGACATAAAATAGTAGATATAAAATCTCTAAAGGGAGATTCAATTCAGAGTCATGGAATTGTGGGCATGTGTAGTTAAGTACTATTTGTTTAAGTTTGCTAATAAAGAGACAAGATGCCTGTCTCCTCCTTCAAATAAGTTTAACTTCTTAGGTACTGTTGATTCCACTTCAGAAAAGAGATCAAAAGCTTCAAAGAAAATGATCATTCTCTTCAGACTTGAGAATATTATGTAACGTAGCCTCTACCTCAGATGTTCTCAATGAAAGACAAATTGGAAAATAATATTAGGAGTTGAAATCAAAGTTGTTTTGTTTAGTTTGCCCCAGTAAACAACCCCCAGGAAAGCCAGCATCTCCAGCACTGTTGTCAAATTGTAGTCAAAGCTGGTGTGATATTTAGCCTGCTGTTGAGTCAGCATTTTAATTTTGAGAGGACCATTTCCTCACCCTCTTATACTTCCAATATTTATTCAAAGATCCTTTGAGCATATATATATCTTCTACATGCCAAATACTGTTGTAGGTGCTAGATATGCTAAACTCTGTTTACTAGATCTATTTTTTTTTCCATTACAATAGGCAACATTATTCTAAGAGAATAATTTGTGGTGTTTTTTTTTTTTGTTTTTTTGTTTTGGCTTTGTAGCTGCTAAATCCTGAAGATGACCTTTTACCAGGCAAGATTCGAGACAGCAATCGTTCAACCCTCTTAGCCACAATTCAGGAACATGGTTACCCCACAATCAACTTGGGAATTGTGGGAGACAAGTAAGTATTGGATTTTATTTTGAAGTTGTTATTGTACAAATACAAATTTTTGGAGTACTAACTAGGTAGGATTGTTGCTAAGTAGACATACTAAATACCATAATTTTCACTTGTTTTATTCTTCAAAAGCCAAAGAATTTTGGAGATATCTATGTCCTTTAGGGACAGACATTTTTCCTAGAATGCCTATTGCAACAGGAGAAATATTTTTCTCTCCTATGGGTATGTTACGTTTACAAGGATCTTTTTGATAGTGTTGGGTTTATCCTACTGGAACTAATGGTGATGGTGTTCTATTCCTATTCACACTTTTACTTGTTTCAAGACAGACAGAAAAGGCATGGGTAAGAAGAGTAAGAGAGAAATGTCACATCAGCACAATCAGCACCAAATAATTCTTGAAGTTTAAGTACAAGTGTTTTCCAGGACTTCTATATTTATTTTTGTATCCTTGTAACCTGTTTCTCCAGGCTTCACCCACTTGTAAGTTCAAAGGGAAGTGCATTGACTATAATTGCCCATTTCTAAGCGCATATTTACTAAACTAATTCAACTTGCTGCTAAATTCCCCAAGTATGTCTGTGAATCTCCAGCTGTGTCTCACATGTGATCAAAAGCAAGAGGCTTGATCACTGCACTGTACACCTGAAGCTGATGTTGTATAATACTGTATGTCAACTATAATTAAATATATATATATGTAAATATATATATATGTATATATATATATATATAGTCATGGGACATGGAGTATAGTGTGGGAGTGGAGTCAATGGATTTGTAATAGATATGTATGATACTGGGGGGAAATGGGGCAGCGGATTGGGGTAGGGGGTTTTTCACTTCAAGGGGTAAAAAGTATAACTATTGCACTGTGTTGTACAGCTGAAACTAATTCTAAAAAATGTGTATTTCATAATAAAAAATAATTTAATTAAAAAAAAAAGCAAGTCTGCTCTTTCTGAGCATCCCACTACCATGCAACACCACTGCTCAGCCATCTTTCACCAGGACTATTTCCAGTTCACCAGAGGTATGCCTGTTTTTAGTTTTTAGTGATACTGAAACATCAGCCTGGTGGAGACAAAGCTAGGAGACACATCTGAGTGGCAGATAACATGATGTATCTGTCACCCATAACCTCCCTTCTCTCTCAGTTGTCACTGGGTAAAGCTCATTATACTGTGACTCTTCTTCCCTTAAGATGAGTGCTTTCCCAGGACAGGTTCTGCCCTACCATTCGCAAGATATGCTCTCACACCTATAATCCCCAGCTGAGGCTCAAACTGGACACAACACAGTCCAAAGCTTGGACACAGGATTTTGCCAGTAACCTGAAAGGTAGTCGTTTTTCTCACCTTTTGAAGTTCTCTTCTTTCCTCCTGACTGTTTTTCTTTCTTTGAGTACATCAAAGTAGAAGCTGTTAGACATATTTTCAAACGTCATTCTTTTTAAATCCTTCACCATGTGTATTGGCCTGAATGTTTAGTTCTTGAGAAGTCCAAAGCTAAGTAACGAGCCAACATAGAACCATGCCAGTGAAGCCAGTGTCACAAATTACCTAGTGTTACCCCAATTTAGGCTTCCTAGCCCAGGTAAGGGAGTAGAAAGAACCCACTGGAAAAAAAGGGGTGGGGGATTGTATTTGAATTCGGACCTGACCAGTAGCCTGTCCTTTCATATAAACTTCAAGCACCTAAAAACTATCCTGATGCAGATACACCTTTAAAGAAGACAAAAGTTAACTTCTGAGAAGAGATAGGATAAATCCAAGAGTACCAAAAACACAGAGCAGGCCTGAAACTCTAGAAAACAAACTTGCTAGATTGTTCAGGATTTGTTTCCCACCCACCACTGTCTAGCTCAGCCTCCAAGTGCATCAATATTATAAGGTAAAAAGAGCTTTTTTTTTTTCTTTGTCATTTTAACCGCAAGCTGTTCTGAAGTATAATTCTTTTTCATTTTCTCCTCTTATTGTTGTACTTTTGTATATTAAAAAAAAAGGTTACTCGATATACTGCTATACATGCTGCCATTACCTTACTATAAATGTCAAACACCATTGAAATGCTCTAATGTTGATATGCTAATATTTAATTGTCTCGGGCCCACACTGTTGATCTGTGGTAGACATTTTCTAATAATATCAATATTACGTGTAACTCCAAATATATCTTGAAAACAGCATATAAAGAACAACAAAACATAAGCAAGATAGAGGCAATTCTGAGAATATACAAATCTCCAGTGTCTATCTTTTTCTCAGATTGAAATACCTTACATGAAACTGAGACCTGTTTTTTAAAACACAATTGATGCAAATCTAGACTTTCTCAGTCTTAGAGTGCTCTATTAAAGAGGCCCAGAGTAAAGGTTGGGAATGCAGAGGTGGAATGTGGGAGGAAAGAATTTATAAGTGTCCTAATGGAAATCTGTGCTGGGAGTTCAGCAAAAGAAACAAGGCACATTTAATCTGCAGGCCTGTGAAGGTTGCCTCCCTCTTCATTCTTCTCTTTCCTGTGTAGCCGTTTACTAAAGAAAGCAGATGTTGTTATACAGAAGCCTCTATGCTAAGCTCTCCAGGGAAACAAGCAGGGTCATGGGAGAAAACACCCCGTGTTTAAAGGAGAGAGAGAAATAGCTCAAGAATGTCAGCGAGCACAGAGCCCTTTACTCAGCTATGACAGATGAGAGCAGGGAGTAAGAGCTCTATTCTTGTATTTTAAAAAAAGGCCCGAGTCTGGTTTTTAAATTCTGTATGATTCTACTTCTCAGCTCTTATTCTTATCACCAGCCATAATTTTAATAGTCAGTGTTAAAATTGAAGAGTAAAACTCTGGAACATATTTGGATTGAATTTTGCCTTTGCTTATTGTACATTTTATTTAAAAAGAGGGTACAGTGAAGATTATGGGAGAGATGTTTCAAATACCTGAGAGTTAACAACTGTATTTTTTTTTTAAGATTTTTATTGGGGAATTGGGGGGATGGGAACATTGCTGGGGGAATTGGGGGAAGGGGAACAGACTAGTTGCTGTCGTTTTGTTCTTCAATCTAGTTGTGGAGGATGTTGCTTCACTGGCCCAAGTTGGCACCATCATTGCGCTCTTCTCTGGCGAGGCACATCAGTCGCCGGCTTCTGGACGGCCGCTCACGGCGGCTGCTGGCCGCTCACGCTGGCTGCTGGCTACATACGGTAGCCCATGGCAACCCACTGCCACAGGGACTGCAGCCTACGCCGTCGCCGGCGACTCATGGCAGCCCAGCTCCAGGTTGAGCTGTTGTTCAGCATCTTAGCTGTGGAGGGCAGTGTCACTGGCCCTCATATGTGGGATCCGAACCGGGGCCCTCTGGCATCCCAAGCGAGTTCTTAACCATCGCGCCACTCGGCCGGCCCAACAACTGTATTTTAACAGCATTCATTTTAAATAATATTATGTGTACTTTAAAATACATTCCCTGACACGTATTTTCTCACATTGTGTGGAACACAATACTTTGGGTTTTCTAGTGTTTTCCTTTAAAAAGACAAATTCTGAAGCCCAGAGATGTTAAGTAAACTTGCCTAGCATTATACAAGTTACTGGCAGAGGTGGAAATAGAACCTAAGTTTCAGTCCACAATTCTCTGCTATCATGATGAAGACAAGGTAATAAATATAAGTATAAATATAAATATGTCAGAAGAGAAGTATCATATCGACTGGAGTGGTCAGAGTTTTATAAAGGTGCAATTTTAGCTACAACATGAAGGATGAATAGGATTTATACAGGGTTGGACAATTAAGTTCATGACTCATGCGTTGTTGTGATGCAAGAGCCATGAATTGTTAGCAAAAAGTTCAGGTTGTCTAGCTTTTTCACGCAGCCTTTTCAGCACTTCCAAATAGTAAACTTAGTTCACTGTCCATTTAGTACAAATTCATAATGAATAATCCATCTGATATCAAAAAAGGTTAGCAACATCGTTGCAACATCATTACGAACTTAATTATCAGACCTCGTAGAGTTAGAAAAAGAGAGTGTTAAGTAGGAAACATAAAAACAACAAAAATAGAGAAGCAGAAAATAAAATAAAGAAGCAGAAATGAACAGCCACTCTGGCCAGGCCAGACTGATTAGAACTGGAGGTTCAGGTAAGGAGGGTAATGGAGATAAATTCCGTCAAAATTTGAGGTCAGATGTTTGAAAGGCTTTGCAACCCAGGCAGATCTACCCAATTTAGTTAAATTTGGAGCTTATTTTTTTCCAGCGGAATTGACAAAAAATCATTATGTTAGAGAGATAATTTGACCAAGCTGTATCACATGGGCCCAAGTTGGAGATGAACTAGAAATAAGAACAGTACAATTTGTTTATTCATTGTTCAGTCAGAAAGTATTGTGTGCCTATGTAAATCACCTGGAGATCTTATAAAAAATAATGATTCTGATTCAGTAAATCAGGGATGGGCCAAGATTTTGCATTTCTACAAGTTCCCAAGGATGCCAAACTGCTGATCCATGGATCACGGAAAGTAACTAGAATGTAGTAAATTTAATCATGCATCTGCTAGGAATTTTAAGCCAAAGGCTATTGAAGATGCAAAGCTAAAACAGATACAGATCTTACCCTTGAAATTACATCTGCTAGAAATGTACTATAAATTACAGTCTAGTAATAAAAATGTTTTCGAAAGTTCCAGAGCTCAGATTTGGAAGTAGAATTAAAAAGAAAGAGATTAAATCAAAAGGTATTGTGAAGACTATTACATAGAACAGAAGAGTGTCAATGTTGATTAATCAAATAAAATCCCTGCAAACCCCAACTGTTAGGTCTCTCTACCACAAAAATACATCTCTCTCTAGCAATACACCGTTTCCACTTATTCATGCATCGTTTGTAGTTTATCCTTTCTTGGCTTTTATAGTTCCTCTTTCTATTCTCATTCCCTAAATGTAGGTGTCCCCATGGCTCACCCTTGGCCTCCTATCCTTTTTGGTTGTCTGATTGAATTTGTA